AGATATAGGAGGTTGGACTACTCTGCTGCTGCCACACTTCTACTACTACTACTACTAATAACTGCTGCTGCTACACTTCTACTACTAATAATATGTACAGTCGAGAAATTTTCCACGCACAAGTTTTTAGGCCTGTCTACAACCGGGGAGGAACATGGATGGGAATTTCTCGCTCGTCTCGTACGTAGTCCTGTAATCTGAGAGGGGTTTTTTTTAATGTTTGAATGCGTTCCCGACCATCGTATGCATGCATGTATCTTATTTACAATTATAATATTTATATTTAATATATATAATATTTAATATTAGATATTTATCGTACGTTCTACCGCGGAGGTATAGGCCTACCTAGGTAGCTCTGTGCAAACAATGCCTAAAATTCTAGATCATCCATACTTCACTGTAAATTACTATAATAGGCGCCAAGGCCTAGAGTAGGCCTATCTAGTAGAATTAATTAGGCCTAGGCCTATGTCAGTTTGAACGATGTACGTCATATATAAAGCTTGATGATGGATGGACCTTGTTTGTATACGACGTACCCTGGAATTAATCACGTTTTGCGAACGCGTTTGGACGGTGTAACAATTTCGGGATCAGTCAGCCATGATAGTAGGAGGAGCAAAAGCCAAACGGAATATTCGCGTCTAGAAGGTAGCCTTCATAAACGGTCCCAAACGGTACGCTTTCAGAATACAATAGAATTCACGTCAAAACGTGTTCCTGTATCCTTATTGAAAATCTTTCTTCATCATCCACCAAGTTAATTATTGTGGGTGACTTTAATCTGCATGTTGACTCTAAATCAGATCCAAACTCCAGATTGTTTTTGGATCTCATTGCGTCTCTCAATCTCATACAATTGGTGACTAGCCCCACAGTCACACATTCTTGATCTTATACTCACCTTTGAAAACGAAAATTGTCTGCTTGCATCACCATCGATTTGCTGGAACTTGCCATCAGATCATGCAGCAGTGTTATGCCTAATCTTACTCAAACGTCCTCCTTGTCCAACGAAGACTATCAGTTACCGGTGTGTACGTTCAATTGACAGCAATGCCTTCGCTGAGGACATTGCCAAAACATTGTTTATTCTAACACCTGAGAATGATATTGAACTCCTTTCCCAATAATATTTCATTTCTGTCCGCAAAGTACTGGATATACATGCACCAGTCACAACCAAGCAAATCATTTTTGACCAATAGCTCCTTGGTTTACAGATGAACTTACAAGCATGAAGAAGGTCAACGCCAGTTGGAGCGCAAATTCTACAAGTCAGGACTTCAGGTAGACAGAGAGCTACAGTATATGTGGCTAAGTGTAGGGAATTCGATCATCAAATTTCTGACAGTAAAACAAAATATCACACTGATCTGGTTATGAACTGTCTTGATAAAGACCTTTTCAGGTTGGTCAATAACTTTACTTCTCCATATCCTTCAGTCTCTCTCCCACCACATTATAGCCTTTCAGAACTTGCTGACAGGTTTTCTGATTTCTTCTATTAGAAGGTTGAAGCCATTCGTGATGGAATTAGAAACTGCCATCAGCCAACTACCCAGCTACTGTATGTGTAAGCCTGGGGCATAATCCCTCTATCCCATCTTTTCACTCATTTGAACCAGTTTCTGTTAACGATGTCATAGAATTGCTCAAGTCAGCTCCAGAAAAACATTGTAGTCTCGATCCCTTCTCTGTAAAAATTGTCAAGAAACATCTCAATCTTTTATCAGAAAATTTCACAAGAATAATCACTAAACACAGGAGTTGTTCCACCATGCCTTAAGAAATCAAATGTAACCCCAATCCTAAAAAGAGCTGGCCTTTATGTCAATTCTTTTTCCAACTACAGACCAAATATCGAACTTATCCTTTCTTTCAAAAACTCTTGAAAAAATTCGTTTCCTCTTAGCTATATCATTATGTAACTGACCATGGACTTCTACCAACCTCACAGTCAGCGTATCATAAAGGTCATAATGTCGAAACTGCACTAATTAGACTGCACAGTGACATCATGCAAGAAGTGCTTTTCGTACTTGTTGATTTCTCTTGTGCTTTCGATACCGTTGACCATAATCTACTGCTTTGCCGCATATGATCGTTGTTTGGAATTGGAGGCACTGTCTTGGAATGGTTCAGGTCTTACTTGTGTGATCGTCATTTCTCTGTCACCCTTCGAAATGTATCTATATGATATAAGCACTCCCCTTGGGGTGTACCACAAGGTTCAACTATAGGGCCCTTGCTGTATGTCTTTTATACTACACCTCTCCAGGAGATAATAAGATCACATGGTTGTAATGTCCTGCTCTACGCAGATGATATTCAACTATATTACACATTTATAAGTGCAGATAGAGATGTTGCTGTTGCAAAGATAACATCTTGTATTGAAAGCATTCAATCTTGGGCAGTTTGAATGAAGCCAAAACAGGAATTATCCAAGTTTTCCAAATCTCTCCCTATCAAGGAAATTCTCATTATATTATATATATTATTGTATTTAGAAATTGTATTGTGTGAAAAATTTGAAGAAACACAAAACTATCTTGTGGTAATACTACAATATATGTTGTATGACGGTATTAACCAATAACCACTTAGTTTTTGTTGTATCGAAGCAACTATAGTTTTCACAAAATCAGAAAAATACATACAAATTTTTATTGTGACACCTTATGAGTAAACTTAACATTTAACAGAATTGTTTCCTCTCAGTATCTAGAATGTCCATTGATATAGGCCTAGTGCATATGTCTGTACTGTACAAACACAATCTTGTCAATTTTGACCATTAACCATGAGGACTTCTTGTTATAGTGTATTTTCATATAGGATCTAATGTCCTTAAAGACCTTCATTGGCTTCCTGTACATCAGAGAACTACCGATTCTGCTGACTACCTACAAGGCCCTGTGTTCAAAATCTCCAGCCTACAAAGATGAACTGATTACACTTTACTCCCCTCCTAGGCAATTAAGATCTTCCACTCAAAATAAACCCACAGTTCCTAAATGTAACACTGTTAATTATGGCAACCGATTATTCGTATTTTCATCTGCATATTAATGAATGACCTTCCTGAGGTCACCTATGTGAGATAAAGGACGCTAGTAGACCAAAGCGAGTAAGAAGAATACCGCAATAATTGAATGATTATTATGTTGTTTGAACATTTGTTTTATATAAAGTTTTGTCAATGGACAATATGAACATACTTACAATGATGTAACTCTGGACTCATGAACTATAATAATCACACTCCAAAAACCAGACCTCTGCGAGGGCCAAGGTTCCTATGCGGGCATTCGTGGCAACAAACAAAACCAGGGAGACCTCAAGAGTTAATCTGACAATTTAATTTTTATTGTTAAGCGCATTGAGGTTTTAGCATAATGCGCTATTTAACCCAAAATTATTATTATTAGGCCAAAAAAAAACCAGAATGTTCCTATGCCTGATACATGACTTAATCAACCATATTTTCTGATTAATTCATCATAAATGACATAATAAGAAAAAATGGTTGGGTCAAATTTGTGTGGTGGTTGAAAAATTCAGGGGGAGTCTTTATGGCCCAAAATCGTGATTTTAGACCACATTGGTAATGTAATTTGATAGGCAAATTACAGTAATATTTTTAGCAAATTTCTTTGAAAAAAGTTTGTAGGCCAGGCCTAGCTAGGAATATTGCAGTATTTTCATTTACAGTAGCTTGGAACGATACCAGAAGTGGGGAGCTAGCAGTGGCATACTAGACTACAATTTATTTGAAAATAGCTTAGGCCCGATCGTTTTGTCACCCGAAATTTACATCACGATGATCAAGAACGTACATGATCTAGGCCCTAGGCTGGGACTAGCCTAGCATGAGCCCTGACTGAAACACTGCAGAAAATTCACATCGTACTTCGCATCGCGTGGAAAAACTAAATTTTGAAGAACTTTAAAAGTCATTATTAAAAGACATTTCAGAAGTCAGGAAAGCTCATCTCCAGCCATCTACAAATCAAAATTTTCCCGGGGGGAAAATCTTTAGAGTTCATTATCTTTTAGAGTTCATTGATTAATTGAATCATTTTCAAGTGGGGGGGGGGGGGGGGGAACCTTGAATTTTGAAGAATTTAAGTCATTAAAAGACACCACATAAGTCGGAAAGCTCATTTCCCGCCCTGTCTCTTATACACATCTAGATGTGTATAAGAGACAGATATCACACTGATCTGGTTATGAACTGTCTTGATAAAGACCTTTTCAGGTTGGTCAATAACTTTACTTCTCCATATCCTTCAGTCTCTCTCCCACCACATTATAGCCTTTCAGAACTTGCTGACAGGTTTTCTGATTTCTTCTATTAGAAGGTTGAAGCCATTCGTGATGGAATTAGAAACTGCCATCAGCCAACTACCCAGCTACTGTATGTGTAAGCCTGGGGCATAATCCCTCTATCCCATCTTTTCACTCATTTGAACCAGTTTCTGTTAACGATGTCATAGAATTGCTCAAGTCAGCTCCAGAAAAACATTGTAGTCTCGATCCCTTCTCTGTAAAAATTGTCAAGAAACATCTCAATCTTTTATCAGAAAATTTCACAAGAATAATCACTAAACACAGGAGTTGTTCCACCATGCCTTAAGAAATCAAATGTAACCCCAATGTGATACAGGGGTCCCAAGCCTGTCTCTTATACACATCTAGATGTGTATAAGAGACAGATAATATTCAGTGTAAACAAATGAGTACCAATTCAATATTTGCTCAGAATCGACATGCACGATCATATAGAACCTTTTGTATATGTATTATACTATCTTATCTGAGATTTTTGTATGTTGTTAACCATAAAATTATCATCCTAAATACGTCTTTTCATCCACACCCCTTCCGCGAGAATGGGATGAAAAGAAAGGAACTACAGCCTGTGGCCTAAAAGAATGGCTTTGCAAGTTGATTTGCAATTGTATTTGCAAAGACTATTTTCATGCACTTACTATTTCCATAAATAAAATGATCCAGAACCACCTGAGGTCATGAAGATGTCCCTGTTCTGTGGCAGATGTCGCACCACCCAAATGGTAGATTTATGAGCCTGTAAGTGTAAAGTACCATAAGTTAATTTAAATAAGTACAAACGTAATACTATCTACTATACATATAAATCTTACTGGCCTATTGTAATTGGACAGACTAGCCACATAAGAAGTCAATTAGCATTCACTTGTATGTGTATAGCCTGTGTTGCAGGTTGTATCACCCACTAATGTAACAATCAACCACTAATGTAACATTAACCATTATTGTAACAAAAATCAACCACTGTTGTAACAATTCCATTAACCACTATTATAATAATCATTTAACCACTGTTGTAATAAAATTCATTAACCACTATCGTAACAGCAATTTAACCACTAATGTAACAACGTACAATATATAGAAGTCTCCAAGCCGAAAGCTTATTGACATTGTCCTATTAAAATTTCACATTTATGATTGTTGTAGCATTTTAAAAAAATTATAATTTTCGATATAGATCAGATTTATTAAAATGGTTTGAGACATTGTAAATATAAGATATTTAAAGGTCAGTGTTCATGAAAAACAGTAAACAGCTTATATATATGTATATATATGTATATATATATATATATATATATATATATATATATATATATACCAGCACAAGCCAATACAAAGGAAAGATGTGATATAACTAGATAGTGAAGTATGAAGGGGCGAAAAAGTATTATTTAATGAAATAAGGCTGCAAAAATTAACCGACTGATTGACAGACTAACAATGGAATGATCGTCCAATCTCTGAGAAACTGTCTGCTTAATACAGTACTAAACCAAGACGACTAACAGAAATAGGAAAAATAGCATGTTAAACGTAATAGGGACCGTTCGACTGACCAACAGACATAGAGAAGTTTGGAGATACTTTAACAAAAACTATATTCTGATGACATATCAATTTAGACTTTCAGACTTGATTTAACCAAACCCAGGCAGCATGGTGATGCATTAAGGCCTGTTTATATTTTGAAAATAACTGTCAACAATAAAAAAAAAAAAAGCAATTATTCACATTAATAAAAAAATTATCGTGTATACGATAAAAAATATTTTCATAAATTAAGTGAAATTCCTAATAATAATAAATAATAATAATAACAACAATGAAAAAACGATAAAATACAAAAATATTTTTTTTCGTTAATCGTTATCGTTTTAGTATAACTAGGCATTTATTTACTCAAACATTTTTAGTACTACTTAGGATTAACCTCCATTCAAATTATTAGTGCCCCTTTTTATACCCCAGCGTTGCCTTTAAGTAACCTAATTAGGACCATCCAGGCATCCCTGTGCAATTTGGGCTTGTTCAGACCATTTTTAAAATCTGACCTTAACATTTATATCAAAAGTCACAACATTTTCAAAAAGCCAATCATTTTTAAAAAGATTTTCCTTTCATGACCTTTGACCTTCTACTTCAGAAAAAACATTTACTAATATTTACAATGCCACAGTGACTATCCCTGTCCAATTTGGGCTTGTTCAGACCTTTTTTAAAATCTGACCTTAAAATTTTTTATATAGAGGTTTTAACATTTTAAAAATGCCACAACCATCATAAAATGTGAATTTTTTTTTTAAATATGACAATGTACATAAGGTTTCGGCTCGGAGACTACTATATATTGTACATTGTTACATTAGTGGTTAAATTGTTGTTACAATAGTTGGTTAATGATTTTTGTTACAATAGTGGTTAAATCGTTGTTTAAATAGTGGTTAATGAATTATTACAACAGTGGTGGATTTTTCTTACAATAGTGGTTAATGTTACATTAGTGGTTGATTGTTACAATAGTGGGTGATACAGGGGTCCCAAGCAGGGGTGGCGCTAGCGGGGGAGTCTGGGGGAAAAGGACCTCCCGTCAGAGACCTCTGAACTCCCCACTTGGACCCCCGTCAGGGAATTTCAAGCAAGTTCGTCGGGGGAAATAATCAAATCTCGATTGCCGAAAGTACAATTTAAGCATTCTTTATTGTTGTCAAATTTTGGTGATAAAAAACTGTTTAGTGCAAGGAGTGCTACCTTAGGTGCGAAGTGTTGCATACTATTGCGATCGATGGGTTGTAGTGGTGGAGCCAGCTGTTCCAGGCCGGGGACTGGTACTCCCGAAAAGGGATGAGTACCCCCAACAGGGGGAATCTTAATTTGCATGGTTTTCTTTCAAATTATTCTATTGAATAAAGAATCCCATAATAAACATACAATTTTATTATTTTTTAATAAAAAAAATTCGACAAATTTAATTTTTCCGCGACGGAGGGGAGTGGGGCATTAGGCTTCCCTGACGAGGGGCTGGTACGCACAACGACGGGGTTTAGTACTCAAAACAGAGGAGCTAATTGGCGAGTATTTTGGTACTTGACAGACTTGATTTGCATAGTTTCCTATCAAATTATCCTTTCTAAATATAAATAAAAACCAAATATTATTATTAAAAATTTTGCCTGACAAATTTTAATTTTCCCCGACAGGGGTTAGGTTCCCCTGACAGAGGGGTAGCTCAATGAGCCTTCCCCTTGCTGGCGGCACCACATATCAATTGTGACATTGCGAAAGCAAAAAACACATATACATCATGTGTTTTTGTGCAAGACTGCGGGGTTAGTTGCGCGCATTCGATCCAGCATGGCAAATGCAAGTAGATATAGTACGAAGTGCTTAGAATGTGGAGCGGTGTTTCAAAATGATTACATAAAACGCTACACTGACTTGAAACACAAAGAATTGGCAGGTAGCAGATTAGTGAAAACAACATGTTTTGTCGAAGAAAAAGAAAGAAGTAAGCAGCTAAGCTTGTTTCTTTTTGCTAAGCCATCGTTACACCATCATCGCATGGCAGTCAGGAGGGAGAGGAGATGGACCATCATCATCAGCTTCTAAAAGGTTACGAATTGAATCGCATTTGTCAACAGAAGGTAAACTCAACCAGTATTCATAATTAAATTAATATACTGTACTAAAATTGAATTACTGTAATCTTCAACGTTCAAAAAATGCTAATGCAATCATAAAAAAATCTTATCTGTCAGTTATTGAAAAAATTAATTATAGCAACTTTTCAAGTACAACTTGCATACAACAAAACTAATTGATTGATTGATGATATCATTAGTGAAGATGATAAAGAAGATGATAATATGGGCTCAATTAGCAGAATTGAAGAGTTTGACCTAACAGTAGCTCACTCTGATGCTGAATCATTTTATGACAAATGACAATGACAATGACAAAAATATTTATTTCCTTTGAGCATAAAAATTTACGAAAAATATAAATGTACAACGTTTTAAAGATCAAAGAAAATGGGAAATTCCTGAAGCATAGCTTGTAAATGGAAATCCCAAATTACATAATTAAATATTTCTTTTACATATAAGGTTCAAAAATAATTCAAAGGCCTATTTTACTTAAATAAAAGAAGTTTAAAATTTATTAGAACAATTCTAATTCTTTTCTATAAATTATATTTTGTATTCATTAATAACAACATCTTAATTACTTTTAGTTTCTTTATATTTATAGATGATTAAGCAATAAATTAAGTACAGTGTCTACAATCTAAAATAATATAAGAGAAAATTTGTAAATAATAAGTTAATCTGAATTCCTATAACTATAATGTCTTCTTTCCAATAACAGCTAAGTTTTAATAATAAAATAAACTGTTAAATCGTTATACATATATATACCTATATAGATATACCTATATACTCATACATATATATAAACATTTACATACCATACACACATATACATACATACATACACCCATATGCACACACATGTATACGTATGTATACATACATACATACATAGGGCCTACATACATACACCCACACACACATACGTAAGTTTATTGTTGTTAAATTGAAAATGACATTTTTTGGGCAATACGGTATATAAAAATACACAGAATAACATTATAAATTATAGCAAAACACAGATTTCCGCTATAAATCTAAATTATATTTACCTAATAGATTCTTTTTGTATATTTTTTTAAATAAAATAGTATTCCTACAATCTTTTATACTGCTAGGTAGACTATTCCATAGACTACCCCCTTTATTTGTCAAGCACATTGATTTTAGTGTAGTTCTCCTATAATTAATACAAAAATTGAAAAATCATATAATTACTCTTCTTAATATTTAAAGAAAGTTTATTTACTGCAAACCATGTGGACAATTTATTTAACTCCATACTTACTAAATCACATAGTTGTTTTAAGTTTTTACCGGAGCATGTTAGATTAGTGTCATCTGAAAATAAGATATAACTAAAAAAAGGAGATACTCGATAAATATCATTTATGTAAAATCAAAATAAAGAAGGTCCCAGGATCGAGCCCAGTGGTACACCACAATTAATTTCAATAGGTTCAGATGTTACGTTTTGAATAGTTACCGTTTGTGTTCTATGACACAAATAACTTTTTAGCCATTTTGCAGCAACACCTCAAACTCCATAAAATTCCAACTTTTTTAGGAGTATTCCATGATCGATGGTGTCAAACGCCTTTTTTAAGTCGATAAACACCCCGATAGAATAGTTAGCTTTATCAATTTCAGATGATATATCTTCATTTAGTTTGAGAAGCGCATTAGCTGTTGACATATTTGGCCTAAAGCCAAATTGTCCATTATATAGTAATTCATTTTTATTTATAAAATTCATGTCTTTTGTTAAATAATTTTTCTAGTATTTTAGAAAATTGCGGGAGTAAAGAAATCGGCCGATAATTATTAAAATCGTGTTTATCACCAGATTTATATATAGGAATTACTTTACAAATTTTGAGCTTATCTGGAAATATACCAGTTTCTAACGATAAATTACAAATATGTGTTACAGGATTAACTATTTCATTAATGACCGCTTTTACCATATACATATCAATGCTATCGTGCCCGTACAAATGCTTATTGCTAAAATAACTAACTTCAGTAAGGACCTCCTCTACTGTAACAACATCTAGAAATAAAGAGTTAGGTATACTTTCCA